AACATAAAACTCTGAAGACTCTAAGCTTACTTGTAGTCATGACAGCCTAACATAAAACTCTGAAGACTCTAAGCTTACGGGTAGTCATGACACCCTAACATAAAACTCTGAAGCCTCTGAGCTTACTGGTAGTCATGACAGCCTAACATAAAACTCTGACGACTCTAAGCTTACTGGTAGTCATGGCATCCTAACATAAAACTCTGAAGACTCTGAGCTTACTGGTAGTCATGACAGCCTAACATAAAACTCTGAAGACTCTAAGCTTACGGGTAGTCATGACACCCTAACATAAAACTCTGAAGCCTCTGAGCTTACTGGTAGTCATAGCAACCTACACCAGTCCTATGGGAGATATTTCGTAGTTACCAGCCAACATTTAGACAAAGATGTTAACGTAAAATTATCGATGCAAGAATAAATTTCACAGTGTCATGTCAGCACATTTCTGAGGCCTAAGAAAATTCTAGTTAGATTGGCTAATTAATTTCGTAATGAAGATTGGAATTGGGCGAAACTATAGTACTAAACATTACAACATTTTCTAGGTGAACATTTAAAATTAGCGAATGCTCCTTAATCAAATTGTTGATAATTAATTAATTTTTTAATTAAATAGCACCTAGTGGTGTAATAACTTATTACTCGCTATTTCTATATGCTTCTCTGTAAAGGTGTCTACCTTCGTCAAATTCAAAAATATTCTGAATAAACTTGTATCATGCCCATTAAACATATGAGAATAAGTCAATAATAGTTTCCTTTTGTGTCAGTTTCAACTCCCAACATCGCCTCCTATATATACACATTGATTAATTTATCAACAAAAATTACTGTCTCTAAACTGAAAGGCGTTTTATATCTAAAGAATGATTAGTTTCGCGAGAGTTAACCAATAAAACATAAATTATTTTAGCAGTAACAGAACGATGGCTTTCATTCCAGATTCTGTCTCTTGTAAATTGAAATTGAGGAACCAAATGAAAAGCTAACACCATTTTACGAGATAAAAGGCTACAGTGAAAAAGAAATGAATAACCTGTGAAGTTTTATTATGTTTCTAATGGAAATGTTAGTTAATAGACCTCGTATGAAAAGTTCTTCATTGATTGTAACTGGGTGAAAGGAGTTTAGTGTACATTTAACACATTCTAATATATGGTCAGAGGTTTTCAACAAACAACTACAAAAGTATTATTGTTTTTAAAACGTTGCTATATTCTGACGATTGATTTACTTAAGATGTGGAATAGAAATGTCCGTGTGTTAGGGCACAAAATAAGTATATCATACAATATATTACTGGTATATCATACAATGTACTATCGTCATATCATACAAGGTACTACAAGATATTACCGGCATATCGTACAAAACACTACCGACATATCAAACAAAACATTACCAGTATATCATACAAAACACTGACGACATATCATAAAAAACACTATCAGCATATCATACAAAACACTACCGGCATATCATACAAAATACTAATGACATATCGTACAAAACGCTAACGACATATTATACAAAACACTAAGGACATATCACACAAAACATTACCAGTATATCATACAAAACACTGACGACATATCATAAAAAACACTATCAGCATATCATACAAAACACTACCGGCATATCATACAAAACACTACCGACATATCAATCAAAACATTACCGGCATATCACAAAAAGCATTATCAACATATTCTAAAAAACGCTACCGGCATATCATACAAAACACTAGCGACATATCATACAAAACACTAGCGACATATCATACAAACACTACCGGCATATCACAAAAGCATTATCAACATATTACTAAAAACGCTACCGGCATATCATACAAACAC